GGGGGAGCCGTGGACTGGGCGCCGGGGGCCGGGGGGAGCCGTGGACTGGGCGCCGGGGGCCGGGGGAGCCGTGGACTGGGCGCCGGGGGCCGGGGGAGCCGTGGACTGGGCGCCGGGGGCTGGGGAACCCGGGCCGGAGGGAGCCGTCCCCGCGCCGCCTGGTGGAGTCCGGGCGCCCTCTGGTGGCCACGCCGGGGAAAGGCAGGCGGAGCGCTGGGCCCAGGTAGTTACCACCGCCCAGGTGAGCAAGGTAGATTCAAGCGCCAGAGTACCTTCAACCCGAGGGCAGATGACCACAGACCACCTCCACCCACGGGAGGCCGAGGAGGGGCAGCGAGCTGAGAGCCGGGGAGTCAGTTCAGCCTCGGGGGGCTGGGCCTGCCCGGAGAGGCCGCCCTGGGTCCGGACACCCGCAGGTGGGCTCAGCCAAAGACACGGAGGAAGGCGCGTGGGAGATGCCAGGGCATGGCGCTGGCCTGAGCGCACGGGAGGGAAGAAATCGGGAAGCCTAGCAATCAGGAAGCGCACTGGCTGAGGGCAGAGGGCAAAGACCACCTCTGACATCTGAGCCTGAGAGCTAAGGCGTCCCCAGACACCGCCTCCTGTCCGGGGACTCCCGCGGCTCCGTTGCTCCCCCTGTGCAGATGGGAGAGGAGGTGTGAGAGGGAGCGCAGGGTCCCACCCACCCACCCACCGCAGCAGGCCTCTCGCTCCCGCGCGTCTTCTCTGCCTCCAGAAGCCGAGTCCCAGGCTGAAGCCGCCGCAGTGCCCAGGCGGGGAAGGCCAGGGCTGGCACCGGGGCTGCGGAGGAGGGACAGGACGGCCAGGCCGAGGAGCGCCAGCCCCGGACAGAGGTGCGCGGAGAGGAACAGGGACAGGTGGTGTCCTCTCGTCGTCGAAGCCTAGGTGGAACACGTTCTAGAACATATGAGAACCCGGGGGAAAAGATGGAACGTTTCTGCTGACCCTAAGGAACCCTCTTCCAGAGTCCAGGCTGAGGAAACAAAGGCCGCTCCACCCCCAGCAAGTGCTCGGAGCCCGGGCGCAGCCCAGGCCGGTGGCCACGCAGGGCCAGCAGCAGGAGGACCCCGGGCCCGGGCCAGGAGCGAGGCCCTCCCAGCGCCACAGACCGCCCCACTATAGGGGCCGTGACCAGCTGCCGCCGGGATGCCCTTGAGCTTGGGTATGAAAATCCACCTCTTTCAGCGTTTTCTCCCTTGTCACAAAAAAAAGTTTCAGAAATAAAAAAATGGAAGAATGCTTAGGCATGTCCAGAATCCGGGTCAGGCTGCAAATGCGGTAACCCCGCGGGACGGCTGGCCACACACACCAGGCACACCCTCGCCCAGCACCTGCGCGCGTGTGCAGAGTTCGCCGAAAATACGTCCCCTGCACCGGCAGTGCTGCCTGTTTACCCAAGCCGGCCACTCCCTGATTTCAGGACCCTCGAGTGGGCTGCGGGAGCAATTTTAAAGTCCCAGCTCTGTGTCCAGGGCCGCCTCAAGAATGAAAGAAGGGAGTGGTGAGGGATCCCCTGCCCTGGACGCCTTCCCTGGGGAGCCCTGTCCTAGACACCCAGGCAGCCAGGCAGAACGGAGCAGAGGCGCAGCCCACCCTTCCAGGGCAGGTGAGCCACAGGCACCTCTCCCAAGACCCCTCAGTGAATATGCCAGCCCTGCCAACCTCGCCTCTGGGCACAGCTCTCACTCTCTCTTCCAGACACCAGAACCTTCCTTGCTACACTGGGAGGGCTGTGAGCATACACAAGGCTGGGGCTTCAGGAGGCAGGAAATGTGGCAAAAGAAGAAAGGAAGGTGAGTTCCAAGGCTGGGACCCAAAAGGGGAGAGACTTCAGGAGAAAGGAAAGAGAAGGGGCTGAGATGTGCCCAGGACTCCGAGAGGTGGGTTGGAAGAATACTGCCCAGAGAACTGCTTGAAATCATCAGGCAATTGTTACATCTGTGGGAAAAACAAATGAATGTACAGAGCTCCCAGGCAATGCCTCAAAGGGTCCAAGGCAGAGACAGATGCAGCCCAGAGAGATCTCAGCTGTTGCTAAGATGAAGCACTGCCTAGAACTAGGCAGCACACCAACAAGTGGTGGGATTTCAGTAACTTTCTTTCTTTCTTTCTTTCTTTGTTTATACAGAGTCTTGCTCTGTTGCCCAAGCTGGAGTGCAGTGTGTGATCTCAGCTCACTGCACCCTCCACTTCCTGGGTTCAAGTGATTCTTCTGCCTCAGCTT